CCCAAACAATTACGTGTAATATGGGAAACAGTTTGCGTTCTTATTTCTCGATGTGGCGTTTGCCATTCATCGTGTTACCTTGTGAGCGTGCAGAGCGCCCTTTTACCAGCTCCAAGGATTGAAATGCAACCTGGTGTGATCACTGGACGGTCGGCGGAAAGCTTGGATACCGCTCGCGCTGTATGTTTACAGATTTATGCTGAAACAATTTTACTACTTTGGCGTTTTTTAAAATCGAAACGAAGGACAGCATATTGTATTTGGGAGAATAAGGAACTTAATGCATCTCCTATTTTTATCGCTCATTTGTGTCCATCGATACATTTTTTGAAGATTTTACCCCCACTCCAATCTGAATTCATTTTATTCAATTTTTTTTTTTTTTAAAGCGAATCACCCCAAGCAAAGCAGAAGTGCAACTAGCACGCAACGGGTTATAGAGAGTAAGAGTCAAGAGGAGTGTTTAGGAAAAGGATAAAAAGAAGGACAGAGATCAAGGTCAAGGCATCAGAAGATGTCGATTGACATTACATTTGAACATTTGAAGATTATAGCTATCAGGGAAGCAAGTGATAGAAAGGGAGTTCCACTGACGGGAGGTGCGAGATAAGTAGCTGTTGGAGTAGAAGAGATGGTTACATTTAGCCGTTTCGACTGTGAAAGGGTGGGACCCAGATGCCAGACTAGTAGCTGAAATTCATGCAGTCTGGGAACCAGCGAAAGTAGCTCGTCGAAGCAGTTGCCAAGCAAATACTTGTAGAAAAGACAGAGGGAAGCTACAGCACGTTTGTGAGAAAGTGAATTTAGACGGGATCCCAGATCAGGACCAATCACGTTGCATATCCGTCTCTGAATTTAGTCGGGGACCTTGAGATAAACTACGGGATATATATATGCAAACGAATGTAGAGAGATGGCCCTGTCTGTATTATCGGAAATGTTATCGAGTAAACGTCAGTCTTGAGAGGAAGGGGAACGGTAGAGAAAGAAGAGATAGCTGACTGAATTGAGGTGAGATAGACTGAGACACATATATGGATGGGTTGGAGATTCAAGAGAGTGTTCCCTAGCCAGTGGGAGATGGTACCGGGCGTAAACTCCCAGGCCATGCATGTCGGTTTTAGAGTCCCCGTACCAAACAAGCTGACGTAGACAAAACCCGTACCCATTAGTGGCTACGTAGTGCAGGGTTGAAAGCGGAAACTGAGGGTTTTATCCTCGCTGCGCAGGACCAATGCTTGCTAACTAGGAATTATCAAGCACATATACTAAAATATTGTGTCAGCCCAAAATGCAGATTCTGTGATAAATATCCAGAAACGATTGATCATCTTGTATCAGGTTGTACGGTGTTGGCACCCACTGAATATAAAACCCGACATGACAGAGTGGGCCAATATCTGCACTGGAAAATCTGCAACTTTTATGCGAAGGAAACTGAAAGAAACTGGTATGAACACCACCCAGATCCGGTTACGGAGATAGGACCTGTTACAATTCTATGGGACTACCCAATACACACTGACAGAACAATCAAAGCCAACCGCCCAGATATTGCTATTAAAGACCACAAACAAAAACTGTGCCTCCTTATTGATATGGCAGTCCCTGCCGACTGCAATGTATCTTTGAAGATATTCAAAAAGTTGTCAATTACAAGGACCTTGAAATAGAAATCTTGAAAATGTGGCATATGGGAACATCAACCATCCCTGTTGTAGTTGGAGCCCTAGAACTGGTTGGAAAAGATTGCAGTAGACTAATTGAAGGGATTCCTGGAAGTCCATTCCTCAAGGAGATACAAAAAAAATGTTCTGATAAGTAGAGCCCACACTTTACGAAGGGCTTTATCTATGTAATATTTTTTTTTGTTTGTCAGTGGAAAGTGTCATGATGCCATTTCTAACCTTAGGGACCCGGAAAGAAAAGTGTAAACGCCAGAAATCAAAGAAAATAATAATAATAATAATAATAATAATAATTCAATAATACGCATAGGTTCATGCCTTTTCGAACTGTCTTTATTTCCCTTACTTTTTTCATTCTATCAAATATTCCTTTCTGTTCTTTCCTCAGTCTCTTTTTGTCTATCCTCATTTCACTTCTAATTTCTCCTAATTCTCTTTCTCCTTCCGCAGAGTAGACACTGCCTCACATGCACGCACGTATACACGGGAACGCGCGTAGCATCTGCCCCAATACTCTCAGTGTATCAATTGGCGACGACATTGTAAATTTCCGGTAAATCTGTCCACCGGAACCGCTCGCAGACTGTATTAATGTTGCTAACATAATTACTTCGATTTCAGAACAAATCTTTCACGTTCAAATCATCCTCTGGTCAATTTCTTTGTCTACTGGGGAAAAAGACATTGAAAGCAAAAATAAAATACAAAAAAATAAAAAAAATAAATGATTTAAAAATAAACTAAATCACCAACCCAATTGGACAGGCGGATAAGTTTCAAAAGCATTCAAAAATCGATTCGTCAAATACCAGCGAAAAACTAAAACAAAAAAAAACAAAAAAAACAAAAAAAACAAAAAAAAAAAACAAAACAAAACCGGAAACAAAGTGCTTTTGTCCTTTTGCCATTGTAATATTATCTCAGCGCCGACCAATAAAAAACACGGGACTGAAATCTTCTATTATATTTTATTTAACTCCGGACGTCTTCAATTACCGCCGGTTATACGGTGTATATGTATGCGGGCTCGGGAGATCTCACCCGTAAATGGATCCCATATTCTCGTATTGATGGAAGAAACTGTCCTCTCTAAGGTGGGCGTTTATATACCTGCCATGCGGTTCTTTATCAAGCACAACTGTGTTGATCACATGTTCCCGTCTTGTGGCATCAGCTGACATGCTGTCAGGCACGCATTTTCGCTTGTTGGCAGGAAGATTATTCTCCAAGTCAACATATCGACGCGTTAGAATTCATCACATTAAGTGCGCGCACACACACACACACACACACACACACACACACACACACACACACACACACACACACACACACACAATAATTCGCTTGAGGATGAAATGGAACTAATGTCTTTAATTTAATTACAAAATTAAATTCGAAGCTTTTAGCTTCCATTTTTTAAACATGGTTAGAACTGTGTAGCGAAAAAAAACATATTTTAAATCAATTAATTTATAATATTAATGCTCTGAAATTTACATAGAGCACTATTTTGTAAAAATAAAAATATCTATAAGAACACCGGATTATTTATCTTACTGTTCTTTCTTTATATATATATATATATATATATATATATATATATATATATATATATAAAGACATTTTTATGTTTATACATTCTTTTTATAGATACAAATATTTAATATGGACAAATTTTTATTTTTATGTTTATATATTCTTTTGTCCATTTCATAATGTGTGACGTCATTTGTTTGCATTTGATACGCCATGAGCAGATATGAATGTACGTGAGAGATTCATAGAAGATTGAAGTTCAAAAACAGTAAATTCGACCTTGCTAACCGAACGCTCCTCTGTGGCCAAATCAAGCAAAATGACTGTTCCGTGTAGGATACAGGTTCGAATCCTGTCGGAGGACGAATATTTTCTGTGAAAATTTCTCGGACATTCAGGCCGGTAAATGTTCTTTAATACTGTTTATTATAAACAGAGCATTTACTTAAATATTTGTATCTATAAAAAGAATGTATAAACATAAAAATGTCTTAAAATGATTGTCGGACTTTGTCCATTTCATATAATATATATATATATATATATATATATATATATATATATATATATATATATCGGGCATTATTTTTCGAGCAACCTAATAACTCTATTAGAAATTAATCAGCGGTATAACGCAGGTCTGTTAGTAAAATATTATGAGGTTATGTCGTAAAAGCCACGTCTAAAGTTGCTATAAATGAAATCTCTAATTAATATATTATTTTAAATATAAAATTTTATATTCGAAAATCTGTTATTTTTCTTTCTTCCTCTCCCTTTTTTTTCTTCTCTCTTGCTTTTCCTTCCTCCTGTTAATCTAGTATATCAGTTCAGATTAATTGTCTTCATTTATTAAGAACTTTCGGTCTGAAGAGATGAATATATAGAAATATCAACGAAATAAATTATAACCTAAATGAATCTTTAAGGTTTGTTCTTGATTTATTATTATTATAATATAATTCGCTGTAATTTACACAGAGCTCTCTTTGGATTAATATCCTCCTTGGAATTATCCCAGCCAGTCACAAATTGATATATATATATATATATATATATATATATATATATATATATATATATATATATATGTGTGTGTGTGTGTGTGTGTGTGTGTGTGTGTGTGTGTGTGTGTGCATGTGTGTGTTATAATTTTTTAAAAAATATATTACCATCGCGACATAGATATTCCAATGTTTCAAAACTGAAACTTCAATTCAAATTTAATCATAAAAATTAAACTTAAAAGTTCCGTTCCATTATCAAGCGATGCTAAGAATGTGTGGATTTTTCTGAAAACTTTAATATTTGATATATATATATATATATATATATATATATATATATATATATATATATATATATATAGATAGATAGATAGATAGATAGATAGATATATATGACAAACTGGAAAGGTTTTTTGTGATGCGTTTCATCCGTTAGGATTTCATCGAACTGAGCTTTGTTGATGGTGTCACGTCTACACATGCGCACGAAACGAGAGACGCAGATAGTTTCAGGTCAGAAAATCCACACGCACACACACGCGCGCACACACACACACACACACACACACACACACACACATATATATATATATATATATATATATATATATATATATATAGTCACATTGTTTCTGTTTCGGAAAGGTTTATTTAATTCTAGGAACAATTGGTGTCTTAGAAATTTATACCAATATTAACTGTAAAACACTCGGCATTCAATGACTGAAGAGTTACTATTATTGCCGGTTTATAAAGTCGTCGGTCTTCCGGTCATACCATATTGAAACAACGGTTCTCCTGTGATCATCGGACTTAAGCAGCATCGAACCTGGTCAGTACCTAGATGGGTGACCACTTGGAAATACCAGGTGCTGTAAGCTTTTATGTTCAGGTGGTGTAATAGATAATGGCTCAGAATCGTTAAACGATGAGACGAGTTCCAAGTCCAGTCGGGTTCGTTCGTTGTATTCACCACCTGAACCAACCACCTGAAGAAGGCCGGAGTGTACAACGGCCGAAACGTTGCAATAAACATGTCGACAAAGATGAGGACAATAGTCTAGTCCGAATAATGTAAATCGTTTTAATATCTAAATTTCACGTGTCGACAAATTTCTGGGTTTTTTTTTTTACTTCATTTTGATGTATCTTTATTTTGGATGGGCTGGCCCGACTAAAATCTTTTTGTGGTTGACTAAGTCGGCAGTGTGGGGGTTAATCGTAAATGAACGAGCTTTGTGACCAACGTCGGTGAGATCAATGCAACTGCATAACGAATGCATAACAAAGGAGGCAACTTGAATCAACAAAGCGAAGAGACGGATTCTAATGTTATTAAATAATTAGAATCGTTGTTGAATATATAAACATACTCATAGCAGTTAATGATTTCTAGTGAGGGTAACTTTAAAAAAAAAAACCAAAAAAACATTTGATATTTCTGGAAAAAATAATTCAGAGCAATCGCATATTTGATGACTGAACTTATTTCCAACAGTATTTCATATCTATATTCATTCTTCTCTATATTATTTAATGAAACATGTATATATATATATATATATATATATATATATATATATATATATATATATATATATATGTAGACATGTATGTATATATCTGAATACACACACTAACACAGACATACACACACACGCACGCACACACACAAACAAAAACAGACACATATATATATATATATATGAATATATATATGTAGATATATATGTATAAATCTGCATACACACAGACACCACACACACACTAACACTCGCATACACACATACACACACATATATATATATGTATATATGTATGCGGATATATATGTATATATCTGCATACACACAGATACACACACACTAACACAAATATACACACACGCGCACACACAAAAACACACATATATGTATATATATATATATATATATGTAAATATATATGTATATATCTGCATACACACAGACACACACACTAACATACACATACACACACACATGAACATACACACACACACACACACACACACATATATATATATATATATATATATATATATATATATATAAGCTAAACGGGAGCTTTGTCTTGATGCCTTTCCAATAGACTTCTAAGGGTATGTTTCCTCGATCACTACAATCTTAACCTGTTCAAGTCGAGAGTTAACCATTATCTTTCCCTTATCTTATCCATATAAACTAACTCTTAACTTCACTCTCGACCTTGAGTGACTCCCTGGCCTTGTACAAGGTAAAGCTTAATGTAAAAAATTCAAAATTGTACTCAGTCTCATTAGATTGAGCAACTAATGCATTTAATGTTTTGTTTTTTAAACGATTCCTTTTGTGTTCATATAATCTTTTATTTAAAGTACATGGAGTTTCTCCAATGTATATCTTGTATCAACTATTACAGGTAATATAGTGAATTGCTCCTTCAAGTTTTAGCGTATTGTTTTGTTTTGTATTAAGTCTTTTATTGTTTTAGACGTGGCAGTGACAAATTTTCTGTTGAGTCTAGACAAATTCTTTTAAATTGTAGTTATTGTAGTCAGTGGGTAGAAAAATGTATTCTTTTGATACATTGGATTTGACAGGGAGGGCCTTTTTTCCATTGTGTAATACATCTTTACCCCAATGATGATGGATTCTTCTCCCGTCGAGTTCGACGTATGAGGTCCCGACAACCACGAACTAATTATCTGCATGCCAATGACTTTTGAGACCGGCTCGAGAATTGCACAAAAGACCACAAACAGCACAGGAGAATCTATTGCTTAGAAAATTGGGAACTGAAGAATATACAAAGTTCGTGGATTATATCTTGCCAAAAAAGACGAACGAATTAACATTTGACGAAGCAGTGACATGTCTTAAAGAACTCTTCAGTCCGAAAATATCACTCTTCCACAGGAGGTGGAAATGCCTTAACCTGGTAAAGGGCGACAATGAGGATTATTAAGAGGACTAAAAGCAACAGTTTACAATACGATATTACTAACGAATCCAACTTCGCACGAGCATAATTACATATTATCATCACATTAACTTACCTTCAAACAACTACACTAGATGCTTGTGAACATGAGTATAGACGAGTGATGTCTGCAAATGAACTCATTTGTAAAAACGACTAATTTACCAACAGACCTATATGTTTACCTATGGATTCAAGTACAATATTTACCGATAGACTAAATTATAAAAACGACTAATGGTTATGTAGAAACACGCAAAACGTATACAGATAGACTCAATGATAAAAGCGACTAATAATTACCTAGAGACTAATGTAGAAGCACAACACAATATTTATCGGTAGACTCATTTCTAAAAACGTAGACACATGTAGAAACATAACCAATGTTTTGTTGTTCATGATGACGGTCGTCTTCGAGTATAGAATCCAGAGGTTAGCAGTGAATATTTCGAAGACAGTAGGAAAACGTTGTTCAGGTTAGCAGTGGATATTTTGGTAAAAGGTAGCAGAGCGTGGTTCGTCCTTCTGTTTCTCTTCGCCTGACAAGCTGGAACTGGACATTCGGGTAGAGTAGACAAAAATGGCCGCCTTTATACACGACGGATTGAATATTCTACGTCTTCTGATTGGTGGACTATAAAGTGAGTTAAGTCATTTTGACTGGCTCACTAGTTACATAACATATACACAAAAAAACTGCAACATGTTTATCGATACTCAATTATAAAAGCGAATAATGGTTACGTATAAAATCATATAGAAACACCACCAATGTTTATCAACAGACCCAATTATATAAACAGCTAATGATTACCTATAGACCCATGTAAAAACTAGACCACTATTTATCGATAGATGCAATGATAAAAACGACAAAATGGTTACCCATGTTATGATTCATGATTATGATGATATTTCATCAGTCTAGAAATAAAGATCTGAAATTTGATCATCCTAAAAACAACCTTTCCACCGGTAACGATTCATGATGATGATATTTCATCATTCCAGAAATAAAGATCTGAAACGTCATCATTATAAAATCGACCCTTCCACCACAAGCAAGGGTAGCAGTAGCAGTAGTAAAAGGAACAACACAGACGTATCTTCTTCGCTCCGTGAAAATCCAGAGTTGACGGTCTCAAAAGATTCCCTTCACCACAAAATTCTCGCAACAATTATAAACAAGCCCAAATTTTAAAGAAACAAAAACAGACAATAACCCTGAGAACATTTAACAAACATAAAACCAATATTGTAGATAACACCCTGAAAAGAAAAATACACATTCTTGTCATTAATTTCAACACGTGTCTCAAAGTCTTCTTCTTGTATGTTATTGTTGTACGTTTTATTCATTTCATTTTCAGTATTAAAAAGCAAAGGATTCCTCTATGAACAACTAAAGCATGTAACACCAGGTAACATACATTAACGTATGTCATTATCGACCCTTTTACACCTATAATCTCATGTAGAAACACAGCCAACGTTTATCATAGGGTCAATTATAAAAACGATTAAGATTACCTGTAGACTCATGTAGAAAGACAACGAAAGCTTTTCGGTAGACTCAATTATAAAAACAACTAATGGTTACCTGTAGACCCATGTAGAAAATCGGCCAGTGTTTATTGCTAGACTCATTTATATAAAAAAAAAACCATTACTAATGGTTTCTTATAGACTTAATGTTATGGTCCAGGTCCTTGTACCACGGTGATAGTCCAAGGTAGAACCAATAAAGAAGAACTCGAACACGGATATGGAATAACACAGATATATTACAAACAGAAATATATACAGAGAAGTAGAAAGTGTTAGTACGAACAATCAGGTTTTAGTAGAGAGAACAATGTAGTCTCGACCAGTATCACTATTCCAATGTCTTGCAGTAATTGTCTGAACGCGACTCTATTTCGGACTGCCTCTGACTCAACTCTTGACTCCACTTGAACTACTGACTCCACTTGAACTACTGACTATATTTAGTCACCCCCCCACGTGGGCATCATGTGGCACAAGGCCGGTTTAACGTGGGATCTCCGAGCCCGTGGGCTCGGCCAAAAATATACCCATTGAAACCGTATAAACGGGTTCAGGGTCGGTTTACCTCCCCGAACGAGACTCCGCCCCTCGGCGTAGCCTCGTTCGGGTTCCTCCCCGCCCGAAGGCAGAGAGTTCAAACGATCAGTCGGTTCAGAAGTGAACGACAGACTCCTTGCCTACTCCTGAGGCGCCTTATTTATTAAGTATGGAATAGTCCATTATTATTATTATTATTATTGGTAAGATCTCATAACACTTAATTATATATATGACCAATGTTTACCTATACTCTTAAGTGTAAAATCCTATTCTGTTTGTTTTTTCTCCTCACTAAAGTTTTCTCATTTTCTTTCATTCTCGTTAATCCCTGACATCTTAGTGGCTTTGTCGCCTTGCTAGGGGTAAAATGATTAAAAAAAGCAATTATAAAAGCGACTTCTCTTTGCTGTAGACTCAATTATAAACATGGTCAGTGCTTACCTATTGCAAAATAATGAATGCATCCGTCCCTGCCTGTCACCGGGCAAAACCGAAACAGAAAAGTAAGATAGTTAAATATCTAGATATTGCCAAGTGTAAAGGTAATACTCATAGCAAATGGGGTACTAGAAACGATCCCCAACACCTGTGTCGAAAAGTTGGAATGACCCTGAGATAAAAAAAGATCAATCACTCTCCTTACAGAATAACTATTTCTTGAACATTAATCTCCAAAGTTCGTTGCACTTCCTCGGGCTAGAATCAACAGGATCACCCTGATGTCTGTAGATGATTGAACTGGGCAATTGTTACAGCTAACTCTTTTGAAAATATATATGGACGCCTGTGTTTTTCTTTTTTCTTTTCTT